AGATGATATTTAAGGTCCCTTCCAAACCAAACCATTCTATGATTCTGTGATGGTACAGAAGCTGTACCGTGCAATCTGGACCACGTGGAAGGGTTCATTGAGAGCAAAGAACATGCATGTGTGGAGTGCATTCCTAGTGATAAATGGCAGTTAGGCTCATCTGCGCTGGTTTGCTTGCTGCTTGTATTTCACAGTGAATGGGAAATGAGAGTCAGGCTATGGAAAAGGGCAGGATGTTATATGGGGAGATGGGCCAAAGGGAGAGAAGAATGCTGCTTGTGAAGGAAACTGTAAAACAACTAAGGGGAAGACGTTCCAAATAAAAATATCATAGAATGGTTTGGGTTGGAAGGGACCTCAAAGATCATCTAGTTCCAACCCCCATGCCATGGGCAGGGACACCCTCCACTACACCAGGTTGCTGGTGATTGATGTTAAGAAGTTGTCCTGGAAGTCAGTGAGGTGCAATCATGCAAAAATCCCACAGTCTCCTGAGGTTTCATTCCCAGCGACTATGGCAGGACAAGACAGCAATCTCTAATCCCTGATGCTGACCCACCTGCCACTGCGTTCTTCCCACTCCACGTGTCTTTTGAGGAGTCACATGGACGTGGATCCCTTCTGATTCCTCCACACTGAGGGATGGCAGGGGAAACCTAGAGTGGGATTCCCAGGCAAGCAAGAGGTGGGGATAGGGGCAGAGTAACCAGGAGAGAACTGTAGCCTTAGTTGCAGTAGTTCCTCTAATGCAGGCTTTAATGTGCACATTACTCAGAAAGGCCCTTTTGACAACTCGGTTCCTGTGATGAAGTCAGTACTGACGGTTATGTGTGAGCACACAGTCGCTGTAGGATCAAAGCCCTCAAATTATTCAGAGCAGAATGAAGGGCTGCGAAGGTCTAGAACTGACTCTACTAGAGGCTGGACATCACATCATCTCCATCAATTTTTTTTCTCCTGCTTTTTGCTTGGGTACTTTCTGTGGCACCTAAATACAGAGGCAAGTACCTGAAAGGACTAGAAGATCACTTTGGAAAATGGCCAACACAGCAAGCCCCAGGGAATGTATAGGGTTTGCATTGTATAGGGAGCTGTACAATGGGATAATCCAGGAAGCACAATATGTTTGCTTGGTTTTATTTACAAACCACTTAAAAAAAAGAAGCATTGGGAGTGGTGCTTGTTTTGGCCAAATGCTGTCTGAAATTATGTATATTTCTTCACAAGCATAACACTGGAAATAAAGGTTCACTGTGGAAGCACTGACAGGCCTCAAACAGCAGAGCTGCAGAAGGACTGCAGTTTTGTTTCAGGCCTGATAGAAAATATAAGTTGCTTCCTTTCCTAAAATAGCAACCTGGCACTGGTTGCTTTATGTGAGAAACGCCAGAGGCGGTTTCTGACCAGCTCCCAGTGCGCGGCAGTAACGATGACTAAGCTTATATAAACTTTAAGTCCTATTTGTCATCACAGCAAAGCTATTGGGAGCTCCACCCTGCTGAAGCAGAGATCTTGTGCACTATTAACGAAGATTGTTTTAATATTTTCAGAAACATTCTCAGTAGAAACCTCTCTTTTTCATTGCAGAGAGAGGAACAGAATGGTCTAATAGCTTCTTCCTGTATGTTATCTTCATGATTGTATGCAGCAGAAGACTCTTGGATTACGTTCTTTGCACACCTTCGCGATATAAAACCTGCTACAGAAATAAAAGGGGTTCTCTCATCATCAAAGGGCTCCTAAATACTCATTTAAGTTCATCTAATAATGCTATCTTCTCTCTGCCTTCTACAGTCTTAAGGCATATGCGGGTTGGAAAAGGGGGGTGCAGGAGATGGGAGAGAGACCAAGTTGGTGGAGGAGAGGCAACTCAGTCTTTACTTGGGCTGCAGCCATCCTCTCTAGCTCACTGGCACGAGTGGGAAGTAATGATCTGTGGGGCAGAGGAGGAAAAGCAGTGAATTTCAACATTCATTTCTATTTCCAACACATTTGCTGTAAATTGTGAGATGAGCTCCTGATTCCCTGCAGTTTAGAAACAGGGAGAATAATTTTATTTTGGTTTGGTTTGATCCATCCTCCTTTTGGAGGGACTCCCCAGAAGGTGACCTAAATCCTTGCTCTCTCCCCAGGCCAGCTAGCAGACAGAGACTAGAAAAATAGGCCAAGGTTTGTCTCGCAGTAGGGGGAAGGAAACCTTATCGTTAACTATCAGAGAGGACCTTTTGCATCAGTGTTGTTAATTGTTTCTACCCTGATTGTTTGGCAGGAACAGCCCAAGTGATTGGTTTGGGAATTGTGGAAAGGGTTGGAGTTACTTTTCGTTGTGTTTTCATTCCACTTCTGTTTCTGATCCCTCTCCCTCCTCATAAGCAGCCTTGAAGGCCAGGTCAAAAGCTGCAGCAAGAGGGAGTATCATAAAACCCGGAGCCTATAAAGCCTTCTGGGAGAGAAAAGAATATATGAGTCACTGAAGGAGATAAGATGCTGGAAAATAGGTGCTAAAGCTCTGGTAATTTGTTTCAAGTGGATAAATACTAGTCTGCTTCCTCAATAGTCCAGAATTCTGTTTTTTAAGCTCTACCTGTTTGTTAGACTAACATTGCTTCTTTCAAAACTTGGATGATAAGGCTCAATAACCTAACTAGTAATCAAGCCTTAGAAGACTTTTGCCTGCCAGGACTTTGCCAGTAACGATGTCTGATTCCTTTTCACATACATCTATGCAGAGATTCATCCAAATCTCAGCCCATTAACCTAACATCTCTTTTAAGGACAGGTTTACTTATACTCTCATGACATATAACATAATAGGATTACTTACAACATCAAAGAGATTCTTCCTTAGCTTCTGGTAAAGCGCAGTCAACTGATGAATGTGAGCAAGGGAGCATGAAGATGAAGGAGGTGCTTAGGGACCTGTTACCTGTGCTGGTTTGCTCTCAATAAATTTGAAGATATGAGGGCCATCCTAGATTTTAATAAACCCATTCAAATCCACATTTAATCTTTAGTAATTGTATTTGGAGAAGAAATCTCTCAGGGAATTGGACTAATTTATCTGTTGTTTGCCAAGCATAGCTAATATTCTTTTATTCATAACTGTATTGCTGACTGTCCGTCCCTGGCAGCTTACTTGGTTGGCAGCATCTCCATTTCTTCTGTAGACAGTTTGTAGTCAGAAGTATACATGTTCTGGGAGCAAATATTAGACCAGAATTGGAACCTGCATGCTGGCTAACTTATTTCTTGACTCGAAGGGCACTTTTTAAAATTCGCCTTTTCTTTGTTAAGGAGGCATTGAGAAGTTACAACCAACCAACAACATTGGGAAGTTACAGCCAATACCAAAACCCTCAGGGTGCTTCTCTGTGGGAGGGGTGAGAGAGGAAATGTAAATATTTTCAACCAGATTGCCACGAGGCAATTGTCTTTCTCTATTGTCTTTCAAAATGTTATCTCGTTGGCATTCAGGCAGTACTGTGTAGCCTGGGCAAGGTTCTGGTGGTGACCTCAAACAGGACAAGGTGAAACCTGCACAGAAAATGCTCATATTAAGCAACCTTTTTGTCCAGTTTAAAGCGCCCAGATAATGAGTTCCTGTAAAGTAGTATAATCTAGAGCAGCGCCTTTTACTTTCCTGAGGCTCAAAACTAAGAATAGGTTCTAATAACTGGATGCATCTGCTCTGCCTTTGCTGTGTGAAACAGCTTGTTTTTCTGATGATTGACTGAGTAGCTGTTTATGCCAAATTCCAGTGTACAATGATCCACTGTGTGCACCAGATCCAGCAGCATGAGTTTTCCATTTAAAAGCAAAAAGAACTATCCCAGCATGGCCTGTTTACCATCAACAGTCTTGTATTTCCTGACTTGTGTTTTCTCCATCATCCAGGTAGCCAGAGACAGCCTCCTTATGGGACGTCCTGGGTTCCTGTGGCATTGGGCATTCTCACAGCTCTGGTGACAGCTGTTGCCTTGGCTCTTATTCTCCTTCGAAAAAGAAGAAAGGAAACTCGATTTGGGTAAGGGAGGTTCTCCTTGTGCTGGTTAGAGAGATCTTTGTTTCTCCTCTAGTTTGATTTATTTTTCAAAAAGCATTGTGGATTGAGTACTTTTAGCACTTTCTTTGGATAACTGTTTTTTCACAATTTTGTGGGTGACCTTGCATTAGAGAGTAGCAGGAAAGTGCCCTAACTTTTCTTCAAAATGAGAATACCAAAAATACAGTAGAAAAAATGTCAATAGCTGGGCTTTATTAGAATATGGAAATATAAACTAGATCAAGGTAATTCTGTAAGTCCTTAGCACTGCTGCTTAAGAGACTCAAAGAGAAACGACCCACAGATGAATCATCGTCTGTGTTCTTATAGGCTGGGCCCTTTATCCCATGCTGGTTTTCAGTCCGGCAGCTGCTTGTAACTTCCTGACAGCCCAGAACCCTCTGTGGAAAGTCTCCTTTCTGTCACCTCTGACACTTGGCTGTGTGTTGCTCCCTGCTGCAACCAAGGTTCCCCATCTTTTCAGAGTCTCCCAGACTTCCCTCTCACAGCAGCATCTCTGTGTGACTCTTGCAACCTGCCCCACCCTTCCAGGGACTCCGGATGAGTGATTCCCCTCTTTCAGAAGGCTCCTACCCACTCTAGGTGCATGAGCAAGGCAGCATAAACCCATTGTTTCTCCTCTCCAGCTACCCCCTCCTGAACAAAGAGTCTGTAGAGTATATGGCAAGGGGTGAGAAATCATCCATACTGTTCAACACACCCTTTTAGAAGTGAATGGCCGGTGTAATCATGGCCCTGTGTGTCTTTTCTGCCTTCTAGCCATGCCTTTGGCAGTGTGGTTGGCAGAGGGGATCCAGCAGTCCATTTCAGAGCTGCCAGGTCTTTCAACAGGGAGGGCCCAGAGCTCATTGAAGCAACATGTAAGTAAAATGACCTAAGTGATTCTGCCTGAGAAGCTGTGTTCATGCGTGTTTTCCTTGAAACTGATGGTTTTGGATCAAGAACGTGGGATTAAGTTACAAGGAGGCTTAGACACTGTGAATGGCAGAGGTGAAAGGCCAGAATAGTTATTGACATACCAATTACATAGCACTTGCTAATTACAGCTACAGTCATTGTGTATATTAGTGCATGGCATAAATTTGCCACTCCCCTGCCCCAGTTTCATGCTACAGGGACTCCTTCAACTGTAATATTATGCAACAGTGACATAAACATGGCTTAACAATATTAGCAGTACACTTGAAACTCAGTGTGCTGAGCTGCTTTACAAGCATGAACCAATTGATCAGTCTTCGAAGGCCAGGAATTAGTAACTTCTCAAACAGGAAATTGAATTCCAGGAATGGCCAGAGTTAAGATGATCCATTTTTGTGTCCTGGGTCAGCAAGGGCATGGCTTTCTGTAGCAGCACTGCATGGCTGGGTTAGGATGGTGCTCCAGCTGTCTTAGACTTTACTCCCCGGGGTTTAGACGTCTCTCCATTAAATCTAGTGACCATAAACTGTTGGACCTCAGCCAGGAACTGTAGGACTTGTACTGTGCTGAAAATGGTCTGAGAGACAGTCATTGAAAACTGATGTGACTCCATCACCTTAAGTGAAGCCGTATGAACCAATGTCTATCAGTGTCCCTTCTGATGGGATTTTGTCTTAGCACTATTTACAATAGTTCTATATTCCTGTTGTTCTTGGTGTGTTTAAGGGTGGTGTTATCACACCCTCTCCCTCTCAGTACTGTTGGTACATTTTCTTGTGGTAAAAAGTTATTGGCCTCTTGTCTGTGGTGAGGCTAAAGGACATGGAAGGGAACTCTGTCTTTTTCAGGTTTTCCTGAAAACTTACAATATGGGAAATAGATTGGAGATGGAGATTAGAACAGGTGACTCTTGATGTTGTGACAGAATATTTTTGTATCCCTTATTTGTTTGTCTCTTCCTTTTTTTTTTTTTTTTTTCCAGTGGAGAGTGTAGGGATCAGTGATGAGCTGAAGACAAAACTCAAAGATGTCCTAATCCAGGAACAGCAATTCACCTTGGGAAGAATGTTGGGCAAGGGTAAGAACCAAAACCTGAACAAAGCTTTACATTGAAAGTCCCACTTTACTGTTGAGTAGGGAGAAACAATTAAAAGCAGCCTCTTTTCTCTCCTTCTGCTTGTAGAGGCAATTTAAATGGAACTTTCCCTTCCGCTGGAATAAAACATTTCAAAGGTTTAGCACAACTAAGAGGATATTGGCTAAGCCATTCCTATAATATGGCTTTATGGAGTCATGAACTGCAGTCTACGCACAGCTTTCCAAAGTACTGATGATTCACTGGTGTGTGAATTTCTTTCAGAGATTTAAACAAAGGAATATTCAATTAAACCTCTGGTCTTTCTGCTGACAAAGTGGTGCTATAGAATTCCTTGCATTTACACGAGCATGTATCAAGTATTAAATGGGCTGAGACAATGCAGAGACAGAGATGATCTACCTCGAACACTCCAACCTCTCAAAAAAAAATGTTAATTCAGTTTCAGGTATTTTCAATGTCTGGAGTGCTTTAACTCCAGATTGTAGTTTGGGCTCTTATAAGGGCACATTTGGAACAGGTGCTGAATTTTGCTGACATTTGTCCTCATTAGTTCAGGTCCTTAGGAGCTCTTCTGACTGTGGGTCTCTATCTGGATCTCTCACAAAGGTGCTCCTAACATTTCTCTGAGGTTTTTGGGTCAGGAAGTTTGGGCAGAGTAAAGGTGGCATGGTTCTCACTTGACTTGAGCTAAAAGATTGGCCCAGAAACTCTGCATGAAAAAGATGGTTTTGAATTTAGATTTCCCAAATGGCAGGCCAGTGTGCTAACTGTGGAATCATCCTTCCCTACTTCTCAGGCTGAAGGCAATCTCTAGAAGTAAGTGAAAATGTATAATGATAAAGCAAATAACTAAGAGAGGAGCATAAGTCAGGGGCCATAAGCAAAAGGAAGCTGAAGTGTTTGGCTTCTTTTTTCTTTATAAGACTAGTTTTATTGCCATTTTTTTGACCTTTTCCCACTGGGAGCATTCTGTTCCATCCCTCCCAGAACAAATGCGTTTCTTTCAGAGCAGGAAGATGACCTTCCTGCAGAACTGGTCTCAGAGGGCTTAACAATGCTAAATCATTAAACAACTGTTTGTGAGTGTCAGCTCTTGGCCAGTTTCTGGGATCCTGCTTCAACTCTTCTGGCTGTGTCCATGACAGGTAAAAAAATGGAAATCAGCTGCAGCGGGGCCCCTGGGGGTGGCCTTGGTGGAAAGATGCTATCTGGCAGGATCTGGTCTGTGTTGTGAGCCCCATTCCCCCAACCCCACACTCAGCATACAGATTGTAAGATGGCATGACTGCATTATCTTGGGCTCTGCTGACTCTGCAGCTGAGCAACAGCTCCATACTACTAAAGCAGTACAAAATGCCTTTGCTTCTTCCCGTTTTCCTCTTTTGTGGTCAGATCCACTGCTCATGGTTATTATGAAATAAGCACGTGCCATAAAGGACTGAAGGACACTGGTGAAAAGCTAGTGGAAAGATAATGCTTTGGGGGTAGGTGTTCTGAGTGCCATCTTTTGGTTCCTTCTTTTCAGTACCACAGTTCCTCTGCGTACTGCTCACCCCACCCAAAACTAATGCGTTTTGGGTGGGGTAAGCAGTTATAAAATTAGGGAGAGCAAATCTAGAGCCAAATCTAATGCAAAGAGGCTGTTATGCTGTGGTATAATGTGACTTCAGACTAAAATAATTTGAAGAAGGTTTGGCCAGCTGCATTTCTTCTTTCTCCCTTAGAGAACACACCAGCATATACGCTTCCTCCTGTGAATTAGCATATCACGCACACACAAGCAGGTGTTCTATGTTTTGTCTGGTCATCTGTGATTCATAGAAATCATTCTCTGAGTCTTGAGAGATAAGGCCTGATGGTGTCTCAAATGGTTGAGTCCTGGCACCATTACTCAGCTCTGACGTCTGTCAGCACTGAGAGTTTCCTCAGCCAACCCATCCACTGATCCAGCTAATAGCTCCCTCTCTGACCAGACCCTTACTCAGACTTATCCTTCTTGATGGCTTCCCCAGAAATGCCTGCCTGGAATCCCAGCTTATACTCTGACTCTACATTGTCCACCTGGCAGAGGATTGCTTTCTTTCCCTCTTGTTTTTCTTTGCCTTCTGGACTGCCAGCACAATGGCCTCTGTCTACTGGTAGTGCTACCCCTTCTAGGCACTCGTATGCTGAAAGCTGCTGGCTGGAACTGCAGAATGAAAAATGAAGCTGGTACCTGCATTTCTTATGTTTAATCAGCTTCTTTGCCAGCGACTCCTGGAGTGAACCTGCTGTGAATCGTACTTTCTTCACAAGAAGCTATTCCTTCACTGTGTGCTCTGGTCATTTCACAGGGGAGTTTGGGTCAGTTCGAGAGGCACTACTGAAGCTAGATGACGGCTCTTTCCAGAAAGTGGCAGTGAAGATGCTGAAGGGTAAGTGGGAGCAGGGCTACCTGAAGTATTTAAGAGAGCTTAGAAAGATTAAATGCTATCTGTCCTGTTCTCCAGCAAACATCTCCTTTACTCCGCTCTGAGCTTCCCACTCAGCCACTCTACCTGTGTTGTCTCCCATCTGTTTCATATTAGTCTTTTTGTAGTGGAAGCTCTTCAGGGAAGGACCTATACCACCTTAGTTGCTTGTACAGCACCTAGCACATGGTGAGTGCAACCAAAAACAAGTCATAGCTACAGCTTCTTCTGTGTGTAGAGGATCTCATTCAGTTGTTTGATTCAACATACATCATGTGGCATAGACAGCTCAGATAGGTCTGCTTTGCCCTAATAATTTAGCAGTAAAAGACGGTATTCCTCCAAGCATATATCCTAGAATAAACAGAAGAGTGTTTGGTCTGAATGCAGAGACAAGCCAACTCATCTCAGTCAAGCATATTTGACTGAGTAGTCTAACTCCCTTCTGGTTTTTCATCTGATGAGTGTGCATAACAAGGGCAACTAACACGTTCATCAGTCAGAAGTCTATAACAAGAAAAGCAATTAATAGATAGGTATAAGTCAAAGCAAGTATGTGCATATAGGTGTGTATATATATGTAAATCTATGTTATTTCACCCCTGTTGCCTGTAAGGCAAAAATTAACTGTGGCTGACTTAAAGGAAAGTCACACTCGGTTATCTCTGGAGCTGAGTTTAGCTGCCACAGAATACCAGTTTGTATAAATATACTAATACCACATTAATGTTAAGTTGCATCATTTTCTCCAGTTTCAACAATAATTCTAACCGGTTTGCAAGCTTTTGTGTAGTCAGACTGTCTACCTTCAGGCATCTAACTTGAGAACTCTCTGTCACCCTCCAGAGGCACCTTCCTTTCTCCACTGACTGTAAGAAGGGAATCTACTTTTTTCTTCTGAATCATATTTCTGAATTTAAATTACTTGCCTAAAGCAGATTAATGTGAATACTCCTCTACAATCTGAATCTGATCTTGCAGCAGAACTGGAGGACTCCTGCTAAATTCAGCAGTAGCAGTGGAGGAAGTAGTCCACTGGACTAATCCTTGATTCTTTTGACATACTTTGATAAATCTGGAGTAATAGCAATGGGAAATAATTTACTCTAAATTTATGCTGGTTTATATCACTGCTGAATTTGGTCCAAGCTCTCCAGTAGTGTGATTATTTAAGAAGTCTTACCTCTAGCACCTTAGAAGACTCAGTCATACTAAGAGACAGAAATGTGTTGATCTTTCGTACTGTCCTTATCAGAGATGAATTAGAGTCCGCTGTGCCAGCCAGGGACTCCAGGTCATCATCTCAATTTCAATATTTTCGTCAATTTTGAGTGACATCTCCGTTCCCCAACATTGTAGTTTAGGTCCTTTTAGCTAATTAATTCTTACATCTTTAACACACACGATTGCCATGGCTTCCAAGGAAAGTTTTTACTGAGAAGAGAGCTGCTAGTCAGCATGTCTTTACTCTGCCAGGAATTGATTTCCCAGATGTCCCAGATGTGTGCTTACTGCCACCTATCCCAGGAGAAAGTCTCAGGCTCTGATTTGTTGTAAACTGGCTAATCTAGCTGTAGGTCTGAGAGGATGTGCTGTGCCACAAAGAACAAGCTTCTGATAATCATTATCTGTAAAGTCCCTTGAAGCGACACATAAAGGAGGAAAACTTACAGTCACTTTTTTCCAGCGGACATCTTCACCTCGACTGACATTGAGGAGTTCCTGCGAGAGGCTGCATGTATGAAGGAGTTTGACCACCCGCATGTCACTAAGCTGATCGGTAAGCCAGCACTGCTGCTTGTGCCACAGAGCATTTCCCGTTCCTGCACAGTCCCACACAACCTCACATACTTGCCCCCACTGATGTCCAACTGCAGCGCTAGTGCAGCCACCTCTGTGCTGCCTGGAGACCTGCATGTATCAGCATCGCTCCCTCCCAGGCCTAGAGGGTGCTGGAGTGTGTGTAAGTGCTCACAACACTTACCCTCATACACAGGGCGCCTCTTTTTTAAGCCATTTTTTGGTTCTTGCAAATACTACAAGGAGAGTTTGGCTGGCTGGCATACGTCTAAACTGCTGTGAAATGTGGACAGGTAGGTTCGTAGACCTAGAGGGAGGGGAGATTGTGCCTTTCCAAAATACTGGGGAAGAAGCAAGACATTTGTGGGTAGGCACTATGGAACTCAGGCAGTTTCCAGAATGTGGAGATTGCTTTGCAGAGCCTGGGGTTGGGGGCTGTCTGGTCTGGAGTGATCCTAGAAACGTTTATAGCCGGTCCCGCAAGGAGAGCTGTGAGGCACTGGGCACAAAGTACTGTCTCTGAAGTAAACAGGGTTAGAGGTGTCTTAACACCTCCTGGCATGAAGACATGCAAAGGAGCTTGAAGCATGGAATTTGCCCACCAAAACTGCACATTTTCCTCCAAAATTGTAAGAGAAAGGCATGGCAGCCTGTAAGATTCCCCTTGGGACTGATCTGTTTGCTAAAACCTCTTTGCTGTGCGTTTCCTCGTTAGGAGTCAGTCTACGAAGCCGTCCCAAGGGCCGTCTCCCAATTCCCATGGTGATCCTGCCCTT